GCAAAGATGACGTAAAGACTTCCGACGAATGAGTTCAAACTTAATAAAACCGTCGTACATGTCGGCGGCATGGCGAACCAACTTCGGATCACGCCAGACATCGTTCTTCTCAAATAAGTCATCCCATGCGCGCTCTTGTGTTTCATTCCACGGGTACGCGTGAAAGTCAAAGTGCCACTTGGTGTCGGTTAAATAGGATGGAATACTGCGGTAGCGATATAAATCCTGAGCATGACGCCATGCCTTGAGCTCCTCAGCGGTACAGTTAAAAGCAGATGGCACCCATGTGTCATTCGCAAGCCAAAAGAGAGCCAAAGGGAGAGCGTAGCCACCAATCACAAGCACAGAGCCAGTGCAATGCACCATGCGCCACATGTCCAACTTGTATCGCATCAACTTCGCTATTTCCTCTTGGGAGACCTCCTTACTAAGCTCCATATCGACCCACATGTTCTTATCTTGTGAGTGGAAGCGCTTGTGGTAGTCGGGGGAGAACGTTTCGCTCTGCTCCACAAAGTCTTTGGGCCCATAATTCAGTTGACGATTGTAAATGCGCAACCAAATATCAACTGCCTCCTGTGTCTGTTTGGCAAACAGTGCGAGCCCTGGGAAGAAGTTCCTACAGTTCTTCTTCAACGTCGCCCAGCTACCCTGCATGGTGCCTAGCTGCTTTATGTCCTGCGGTATTCAGTAAAATTCCTTACTGGCTAGTAGCATGAAAGGAAAGGAAAGAAAGAAAATCAATAAAAATAAAAATAAATAAACAAATATATGCATATATGTGATGCAAAAAGAGCATGCATAAATAAGAATATAAATTTATGAGGGCCCCCTTCTTGGGCTTTCCTCAAACAGGAAGCGTGGCCTGCCACACAAAAATATGATGAAGCCTCAGTGTTTACGCCAAACCAAATTAGACACACTCAAACACACATACGCACACAAAGACCGCTGCTTCTTTTCACCATCCCGTTCCCCCCCCCCGGTTCACCTGCATTATCGCCAGATGCACAGCGTCTAGCGGAAGCGGCATGCTTCACACTACCACCACAGTCCTCCAAATTGACCCCATTTCATTCACAAATCCCTCGTTACGACTTCATGTTTTTTCTTTTCTTCTATAGCCTTTCCCCCGTTTTCACCCACCCTTCTCATCTCCTGCTGCTGCCGAGAAAATCGCCACGGATTGTTATTTGCCCCTAACCCTGCCCTTTCTCGTTATTTTTTTCCCCGCCCTTCCTCTCCACTTCTTTACCTTCCTCCTCCTCCTCCTCTTCCTCATCGACCTGCAACTCCGATAACGCCTCCAGAATCAGGTTGGCATTGGAGAGAGTGAAGTAAAGCAGGGAAAAGCCTATTGTCCACGCCACAACCATCCGTCGCCCCTTTTTGAACAAATCATCAGGTTCAGGCGCTAAATTCCCAGAGTGAGCCCCGGCGGCGCATGAGGGCGCCGCCCGTAGTGTGTAAAATGCACTGTACTCTTCAAAGTACATCTGTCGCACCCTTTCAATATATTTCACAAGCGTCGTGCATTCCCCCTGCAGACGCTTCTGCATCTTCACAACAGCAAGGGAAGCGTGATGATTGGCAAAATCGGCATGGAGAAACGACGAAGCTGCCGCATACGCCAAAGCATCCGCACTACATGGCCGTTCTGTTCCCAAAAAAAAGGTCCCAGGGGGGTTGGAGTTGCCAACGTAGAGCGTCTGCAGTGCACGCAGCCCCTTCTCCGCCTCCTCCAGAGCCTCCGCCACACTGGAGTAACGCCCACAGCAGCCACTGCGCTCCAGTACGCCACGGCGGTAGTTCCCGAGAAGCCTCTGCCATAAGGTGGCCACCTTCGGCACAACACCTTTTCGGATCGAGTGGTCAAAAAGATCCAATTCGCAGTGAGTGAGATAAACAAATGCGGGGAGCAACGAATTTACCACCAAGATCTTCACACAGAGTGAAAGATGTCGTTTTTCTACCGGCAGGACATCTTTGTCCACATGAACGCTGTCCTCGATCTGCTGCAAACAAGACGCAACACCGGTCTTTCGAACCACGCCGCTGTTCTCATGGCAACCCACCGCGCTGCCGTCTCTGGTGGGGACTTCAAGCGCAACTGGCAACGGAGCATCACGCTTCACAAAGTGCGCACCCACAAAACGCAGCATGCACTCCACCGCAAGAGCATGTGGATCCGCCGTAGGAATAGCGAAACACGCCGGGTAGCGGAAGAGCGTTACGGTTGGCAATTCAGCCATCTCGTCAGTTGCCATCGCGGCTGGGCGGCGGTAAGTACGTTTAATTAACTTACAGACTACATCCAAAATAACACAAAAAAGAAGAAAGAAGAAAAAAAAAAAAAAAAAAAGTGGCAAAGAAATAATAAAAACATAAAGAATACATGAATATGCATGCACTTGAGTGGATAATTGTTTAGTGAGTTATGAGACTCAACCAACGTGAGGTTGCGGTTGGACAGTTGCGTTTTTCATCCATCGTCACGATTTCCATTTTTATATCTCCTTCCTCGTTCTTGACTTTAACTTCTCTCTCTCTCTTTTCTTTTTTTTTTTTTTTTTTCTTCTCCTCCTCTCCTTCTCCTCCGTCCCTCTTCTTCTTTCGTCCTCAATCCTCGATCCTTTTTTTTTTTTTTTTTTTTTCATATTTGTAAAAAATAAAAAATAAAATAGTAAACAGTAACAGTGGCAACAATAATAATAATAATAATAATAACTGGTTATGCAAACAGCTTCTTTCCCCGCAGAATACTTTCACTTACTCACACACACACACACACACACACAGAGAGAGAGAGAGGAAGGGAAAGAGGGAGAGAGAAAGAGGGAGACACTTACTTATTCAATACCCCTCCCCCCCCCCTTGCAGACAAACACCCGCACCGGTTGCTTTTTATTTTCTTTTCAGTTTTTTTTTTTTTTTTTTTTTTTTTCCTCCACATCGCTCCCTTTTTCACTTCCTCCCCCTTCCTTTTCCCTCTTCTTCTTCAAGAACCACCACACCGCCCACGACCGCCACGTCGTCGCGTCCATGTGTCTTGTTGCTGCTGCTGTTTCCCTTTATTCTTCTTCCTCCTCTCCATCGGAAGGCCGCTCCATGCCTCATTGACCGCTTCCTCCTCCCTCAATCTCTCTGCTGTATGGCTGGGAGGCAAAACTGGAAAGGCGGCCACCAAACAGCGCAGAGCGCACGCCCAAATAAAAGTAAAAAACAGTGGCGCCGGCACGAGGAACACACACGGAGAAAAAAAAAAAAAACAACAACCGTAAGAGAAAAAGGGAGAGAAGAGGGAGAGAAGAGGGAAAGAAGCGGAGAGAGAGAGAGCGTGTGTGTGTGATTGTCCTGCTCCTCCGTGCGTGGCCGGCGTCTCTCACAGGGAGGGGAGGGGTCCATTCATGCGCAAGCACATATATAGATAGATATATATATGTATATATATGTCCACAGTTGTGTGTATCATGTATACATGGCGGTTTATTGCGTTTCAGCCTCCCCGAAACTCCACCCACTCCCCGCCTTCTTTTTTTCTTCTTTGTTTTTGTTGTTTATTATTTCTCTCGCTCAATGACTCTCACTTTTGTGTGCATTACAAGGCGGGGAAGCAATCACCCCACCCCTCCACAGAAATTCCATAATAACATGAGAATCACGCAACACACACACAAAAAAAAAAAAAAGAAAAAGAAAAAAAAAAAAACCACACGCTTCCAGAGTAATCATCTCAATTGACAACATCACATATTAACATTCATCGCACGTGTTTAAAACATCACGTGAGTCCACAAAAAAAAAAAAAAAAAAAAAAAAGGCAAAACAAAATCACACATATTTATACATGCATATGATATATTTATATATTTCCCCCGGAAAAAAAAAAAGGGCTTTGAATTCCTCAGCTCTTCATTTCCCACGGAAACAAATTTTATTTCCCTTCGCACATCCCACGGCCTCCGTGAGACACCGCCTCCTCACGCCGTATAATTTAATGCCGTCATAAAATATATGTGTGCTTGACATTTTATTTGCCTCGTCTTCGTGTCTGTGTGCAGTTTCTTTTTTTTTGTTTTGTGGTAAAGAAGCGGGAATGAAACGAGAATGGCAGGAAGAGGAGGAGGGATGCAGTTTGACTGCAGTAAAAACCACCACCACCACCACCACC